TCAGAGTGATGCAGGACAGAATAATCAAAAATTAAAAATAAATCTGAAATTTGCACATAAAATCCAGCTAAGAATTAGGACAGGGAATGCATTTCCTTTTAAATGCCCTGCTAGCAACCACCTCTCCAAAGGAGAACACTGCCTGCAGTAAGAATGTCTTTGAAATTTCTAGGAGTCCTCCTCAGCCAGTGTGCGCCTTAGAGTCACTGTCCCCCTTTCTTCCAAGGTTGGCAGAATAAATGTCAAAAATGCTTTCCATGCACTGACCACAGCTGAAATGCAGCACCTTTGACAAAATTACACACGGCCACATCCTAATTTTGCTGATCCGGGTCTCAATTTACACAGGTGGAACATGAATGGCTGGATCTGAAGGTCACTGCAGTGCTGGCTGTGTTAGGATATATCCATTATCTCTGCTTCAGCACACGATCTCTGAACAAAACAATTTCTCCTCCAGCCCAGAGCAAAACAAAAAGAGCAAAGCTGGAATATACACCACTGGGAGGAAAAAGAACCTGCTCTCATCACCATGGACAAAAACCTACTGAAAAACAACCTACTGAAGCCTTTTTCCTCAGCTTCCTCTTTCCCAAAACACAGCACGGGAAAGGGGAGGGGAAAAAAAACAAACCCAACATACCAAACCAAAACCAAAAAGCAGACATAAGCACCTGGGATGCAGTTCATCGGCAGATCTCCTTCCCCACTGCAGCCCGCGAGTGGCAGAAACAGAGGCGAACAAAGTCCCAGCCGGCATTGGCGAGAGGTTATTCCCCATCCTCCTGCATTGTGCAAAATGGGGAGGCTCCTGCCTGCCGGCACCCCTCACCTGCCCCAGGTATCTGGGCGGTGCTGGGTTGGCTGCCCGCGCCCTCTCCGACTAAACCTCTCCCTTCCCGCAGCCCTCCTGACTCACACATGGCACCAGGCTCGGCTGGGGCTCACTCTCCCAGCTGCCTCTTTGCTGGAGGAACAGCCCCCAGCAAACTTCAGGCTGGGAGAGACTGGGACTTCTCTGGGAAACTGGGAGCCTTGCCCAGAGATTAAGCAGTCAGGCAAAGCTCTCCCAGTGGGGATCTGCTCACCCCACTCCCACCCACTGTTGCCGGCAGGAGCAAAGTGACACAGCTCTGGAGCAAAAAACAGGGCTGAACTCGCACTATATGCAGGGATCTCTGTTGTCCTGTATTTGCTGCCTGAACTTATAACACCTCAGCAGGCACACTGTATGCTCCTGTTGCCTCGGGGCCAAGGACAGAGAAAGTCCCAGAGACCCCTCTAAGATGGTGCCAAAGTGTTTCTCTTCTCAGGGGGAAAGCAGGTCGGAAAGCAGGTCATTGGGGCACAGTGGGGCCAGGCAGTGGCTGGATGACATCCACCATGCTGGCATCCCTTCCAGTGCCCTGGCATGCAGCCACCAAGCTCTGCTGGCAGCATATGCCCCAAAACAGATTGCTTCCTCTTTCTTTGCCCTAATCAAGGGAGGAGGAAAACCTGAGTGGGAAAGAAAGGAAGAGAGAAGGTGCCTCTCTCTCAGAGACTCCCAAGCACTGGAGGCAGGGACTGGAGCCAGGCTGGGATGTTGCTCCTGCAGCTGCCTGACCAAGATGGGAGGTTAGCCTGCACTGACCCCTCTGGTCCCCCTGGATAGGACTTAGCTTCCCAAGGGTAAGGAAAACCAGGTACACAAAGCAGTATCCTCGAGCAAGATGTCTCCCTCTCCAGGCAGCAGGGAAACTGCAGAGCGAGCACCCAGCAAGGATTTTCTCCTTCCAGCACATCCCATGCAAAAAACTCCTGTTTGTCCACTGGGAGTCAAAAGTAGCTTGAAATCCAGGCAGGAATCAAGCTGGAATCTGGATGGGAAGTGCAAGGGGCTGCCATCATCAATGCCCAGCCCTCCATGACATGGAAAGCCCAAGCCTCTCTCCAAGGCAAGGGTCTGCAGCCCAGCATGACATGATGATTTCAGGCCATGCAGTGCATTTTCCCCAGGGCTGCACTTTGGAAGGCACAGTGGAGCAAGAAGAGCTGACATCCCTCCAACTTCAGCTTTGTCTCCAGATGGCTCTCCCACTTAGTGCCAAGAGAAATGAAAAACAATGCAAGCCCTGGAGTCCTGGGTCAACCACTGCAAAACTGTTAATCTCAGAGCTGTATTACCCTGTCTCTGCCACTTGAATTGCCACTGTGCTCTCCAGAAGCTCAGTAGACCAGTCTTCTTCCAGCTGAAATTCTTTCATTAATTAACTCTTCAATAGTCTCTCTCCAAAAAAAAAAAAAAAAATTCATACCACGAGCTATCAAAATCCTCTCTGACCACGCCATAAACAGGGTTTTTTATGTGGTTTTCCTCTGCCCAACCTCTCCTGATGCAGACTTTTCCAGTGAAATGGGAAATCAGAGAGAAGAAAGAAAAAACTCATAGGCAGAAGATAAAATAAGGAAAGGAGACAAAAATATCAGTTTTGCCCTCTTAGTACGGTTAAAAAAAAAATCACATAAAAATTGAAGGCATGGAAGTGAGTTTCAAAAAGTGAAACAAAACTACAAAATTGTCCACAGGACATCTTTTACAGGACTACCTGGCACTGCTTATCATTTCCTTGCACCTCTTCATGGCAATGAAAGCAATAGAGTTCTTACTTGTGTAAGAGGGAAGTAGGGGTAAATATATATGAAGAAAGAAATTGATAAAAACAAGATAAAGGTGTCTAGAGAAAAGAAAAACTGTACTTCCCTGCTGTTGAACCCAGTATGGTCTCTCCTTGGGGAGCAAGGCTCTGAACTCCATTACACTTTTCTTGGTTTTATAGGTAAAATGTTTCCAACACAGTTAAACACTAACTATTATTTCAGGAGAGCACCATGGCATTGGTGACAAACAGGAGTCACAGGATGGCCTATGTCAACTTCCTAAACCAGGCAAACCCCTGGCACTGAGAACCCAGCATGCAGAGTCACTCCAGCTTGGCTGAATCAGGCCCATAACCAGCAAGCAAGACCATAACATCTTCATAAAGTAGGATTTAAGTACAAACATCTGCCCTGCCGTTTTTTAATTAAGGGAGTTTATGGGTAGGTATTCGTTTCCGTAATCCACGTCTCCAGCTGCAGAAGTGCCATACGTATTCTAATTATGGCAGCTAGTTTATTTAACGGAGTTTGACATTGTTTGACATTTAGCTGAGTCACCTTGTTCCCGGGTAAAGCAACAAGGGCTGCTCTGCAGTTCAACAAGAAAGAGGCAGAGATTCGATATCAAAAGTAGAACATATATCACAGAAATTTTAAATTAAACACAGCTGAGGTCTATTCTGTTCTGGCAGCTTCTCTTTCTTTGGGACAGTAAGTCAACCCAAATGATTTCCAGATATAACTCTTCCCCTCAAGGACATGTGGCAGTACCATCTCCCTCATGTTCCTGGAGGGTGGGAAGGGTAGGAAGTGTTGTAATGGACATATGGGGTTTATCTCACCCTCCCCAAATATCACGCACACGTATATGAGGACACCCATCACTCAGATCTGCACAAAGACTGAGCAGCAGACAGTCACCTGCGGTCAGCCAACATTTTTCTAGAATATAATAAAACAAATGGGCCACTGGCAGTCAATACTGGGGAATAACTGCTACCTGCAGACAGAGATTTTGCTACAGCACCTTGCATGAAGCCATCTGCACTCCTTTACAGTGCTTTCATGGATCTCAAAATGCTTTCCAGTAAGAAAGGCAGGGCAGCAGTATCCATTCTTATCACACAGAGGTTTCACAAAATGACTTGTCTATGAGTTTATTGGTGACACAGTTGGAAAGAGAGTCTACTCTTGGAATACTCTCCTCATCCCAGGTTGGAAATGGAGGGCAACACCACCTTCCCCTGGCTGTAGAGGGTCTAGATGCAGAGAACACTGCAGAGAGGAAACCCAGATCCTGGGACTGCCTTCCACGAGGTCGATGGAGGCTGCCAGGAGGCTGTTCTGCCCTGCTGCAGCTACGATGCTTCTGTCATGTATTTGTGCTGCTGGTTTCCAAGTCCCTGCTTCCCTACTAGTCCTGGAGCTGTGCTCACCACACATCTGGAGCAGCTGCTTTGCCTGCAAACAGCACTGGGGACCGCAGCATGCTCCTGGAGAGGACTAAGCCCTTTTATCCCAGCTTCTCTTCACAGACCTTAAGGGAAGAGCTGTTTTATAGCTAAAGACAGAATAGACCTTTTAACAGGCTGAAAATACTCCATGTATCCTGGCAGGCAGTGCAGCAAGCCAAACTTTAAGCCAACAGCCAGAATCGTGCAGTCAGACAATGGAGAGCTGGCCAGAGCGTGCACTTCCAAGAGCACGCTGTGGTCTGGCTCCTCTCCCCATGCTATCCCTGCAGCCACTGCTGGAAGAAGCTGTGTAGAAGTGTGTGCTGTTACCCTGAGGACAGGATATCCAGCATGTCCAGGCCCTCTCCGAAAGCTGTCAAAGGGACAGTGGCTCAGCCCAAAAAGATATTTACTTATCTTTTTGGCCAGCATTGCAGAAATCCCTATTTGCATTTAACCTTCCTTCAGTTTCCTTTATAACCCAGTGGCAACTCTAATTATTCATTCCTTATTACACAATAACAGTGTCTGCAGAGCCACAGAATCCAGAAATGACAAAGACTGACTCTGGTCTTCAGTGGCCTCCCAATTAGTGGCCCGAGCTTGGGCTGCCTGTTGGCGCCCCACAGACACAGCCTCCCAGAAGACATCAAATCCCTTTGTGGGGCAGGGCACAAGCCAACCTGAATCTGAACAGCTGATGTAAGATCTCCTGGGAGCCCCAAACGCCGTTCCAGTTATTTTAGGAGGAGGTGGAGGTCTGGTATCACAAGACTGGATGTGTGAGCTCCCAGGGAAAAGGCATTTATAAGAGTGGTCACAAAAAGCACTAGAGACAGTAGCTGGGGAACTGCAGTCACCAACTGCTCTCACCCATCTTATTTAGGGCTTTCCCCACAGCATTACCTGGTAGAAAAGGAATGATTCTTTGCTTGGGGTCTTTCTGGCCTCCTTCAATAGGGAACTTGTCCAGAAGCTGCATCTGCAAAGGAAGCACAACAAACATCTTAGGGGGAAAACATGGACTGGTTGCCTAGGGATGAGGAGAACTCTTGGTTTGTGTGTGGTTTAAAACAAAAGCGACTGCAGGAATTACTCTGCCTCATTGCAGGGGAGCCTATACATAAAAAGGTATGAAACAGTTCACTCCAAGAAAGGGAGGGCAAGTTTTTGGCAGCACAGAGGAGCTGGGACAGGGCCCAGGCTGACATCTGAGCCTGGCCTTGCTGCTGTTCTAAAATTAGGCTCCCATTCTTTGTTACAAAACACATGCCTTGACTCTATCCACAGACTGCCTGTGCTGGTGGAGACACAGGTTTTACCTGACCATGTGACAGACCACCCGCCCGACTAAAAATACTGTTCAAGCAACCAGATTAAAGTGTATTCAATAAAACACCTGCTCTGCTCTTCTGGCAAGACACTGCCCATTGCCTTGGTCCAGCATGAAAGAGCGCTCCTGTTTTCCCAGGGAGACAGAGATGGAGTTTTGAGGAATATCTTCCACTGCAGTCCCTACATGGAGGACAGCAACAGAGAAAAGATAGCAGGGAGGGAGGCCTCAGAGAGCAGAGCATCCCAGAGAACAGCAGCCCCACGAATGGCCAGAAAGCACAGCTCAAGGTGAGTGTGCTCTCAGCCCATGACAAGCACCCTTCAGCACATGGTTATGGAGCACCTGAGCCAGAGTTTCGCCCACATCAGCTAAGATCTTGCACTACCACCTTCCAAATCCAGCCCACCACAACCACCTGTTTCTAACGTACCCCTAAGAGCTGTCCAGGCTCAGGATCCTGTTTTACTGCAGAGCTGCAGCCAGCTTTCAACCTGAGGAGCTCAAAGGGATATTGATGGCTATTACCTAGTGTGCATGCTGGAGCAGACAGCTGACTACCAGTGTCTTCCTAGGGAAACAAACCTAGGAAAGCTGCATACTGATCTGACATTCCTAAATGAGCCCTACAATATCTTTTTGGGTGATGAGACTGGAGGGACTAGTGCCACTGAGGGACCAGCTGAAAGGCCAGGCACAACCTCAGACTGCAGATGCACCTGCTACAATGGCATTTTCATGGACCTGCCCAAAAGACACCAACTCCAGCCCTGAAAACTGCCCCCCCTATTCACCCTCTGCAATCTTTTGCTCTCATTTAGCACATGGTGCTACCAAGATAAGAACCCAAATTTTGACATTCTATTTCACTTCCCCCACATGTCAGATGTATGATGCAATGCCCTATGCCCCCTCCCTACACAGAAGCCCCAGCTCCCTTGGACAGGGGTAACTCCAAAGCTCCCCCCAGCCCTGGGGCTCCTTCCCAACAGACCAGGAGAGATGTCTTTCAATGCACAGTCCACAGCCCCTGTGGCCTCTGAAGAAGGTAAGGAAAGAAAAGCAAGCAGTCATCTTACTTGCCCTTGCAGAACCCCTATCTCCTCACCTGAACTGGATCTACAGGTCAACAGAAACACCCAAAGTGGCAGCAAAAGCTGGGGGAGGCGGAGGGATGCTCATCAACCAGCATTTAATCTCATCAGTGCTATATGTCCAACAGCGAGGATGTGCGAGTTAACAGTGGTTTTGCTAGCTCGACAGATTTCCTTCTAAAAATATTTTTTTGCTAACTTGGGGAAAAAGCAGCCAGAATTTTTTTTTATTATTATTTTTTACTGTTTTTGTTTTAAGCACACAGAATCCTTTTCCTCTTGCACCGCACAGAACATCTCCAGAGTTTTCACCATATGGCACAGCAAACCAAAGATCAAGAGCAAACTCGGGAGCAGAAGAAACATCTGTGCAGGAGAAGTAGTTAAAAGATCCCACATGTTTCCCCATCAGGGAGTCAGCCTGGTAAATAAATAGACCATAGCTTTGCGGATTGCTAGCTAACTCACTTTTCTGCCTACAGAGACATGTTTTTTATTGAAAATGGGAAATTTTGTTTTCTTGTAGGTAGAGCTCCGGGTGTCTGAGGTCAGGCACGGGCAGGAGTTTTGTTCAAAGAAGGTAAAAAAAAAAAAAAAGGAGGGGGAGGGAATCCCCACCAACTGACTTGAAGTTTCACTGTTGTTACACTTTTAGCCAGGAAGGCAATTCTCACTTTACTACAGGGTGACTGATTCAAGCTGGAACCGATACAGTCAAATTCCCATGGTTATTCTTGGAGTTAGATTAGCTTGGCTAATACAAGCCTTTTTAACCACATCAAGAGACTCACAACATGTATAACTGAGTGCTATTTATCTAAAGGGTGGATATCAGCAAAATAGATACAATAAACTGCAGCTGGAAGAGTTTGGCTAAACTTGCCTAGACTACACTTTCCACCCCAGCTCTCGCCCCCATTGGGAGGGTCTGGATGGCAGGGAGCTGGGGGAGACAGAGGCACTAAGGAGGCCATCAACACAATTCATGGGGACACAGCCTGTCCCAATGAAAAGTCCCCAGGAAGTATAGAAGATTTCTCATCTTCTTCAACATATGAGGCAACATCCCAGTGGGAAACATGTACATGTTTGTGCAAAACTGAAGGTGAGGCATAAAGTTGCTGCCCCTTTAAAAATCCACACAAGGCTGGGCACCCATGGAAAAGGGTGAGGTTGGGCATCCATGGAGCAGTGTGATGGTCCCTCTCCAAATCCCTGACCACAGACCACTTGCTGCTGGCTTGTAGACTGGTCTCTGGACCAATGAGTTGGGTCTGGAATTTGTGCTGCACAGGGAGACAGGCTGTTGATGGGCAGCTGCACAGGACGTTCAGGAGGAAACTACTGGCTGAATCTCTGGGAAGACATGGGAAACACAACAGACCTAAAAGAACCCGAGCAAGGATGTAACAGCAGCCCAGCAATAATGCCCTTGCCTCTCTGCCCAACTGTCCTCATAAATGCCTCAAAAAACATTCCTGGTATGGCAACATCCATACAGATGAGTATGAACAGCATGGAGAACCTGCCACACAGACTGGAATGCAATGGCTGCCCCTCAATTCTATCATGCTAGAAACCCTTCAGGATGTTACAGCCAAATGAAACGCATCAGAAGCACAGAGCCTTCCTCAGCACTTCCCTGCACCCAATTCTGGCATTCAAAGCCAATGAAATTTAGAGCTAAAATCCTAGGAAAGGATTCTGTATCCTCCCACCCACAGAGAAGGATTCAAAGTGGAAGACGAGGAAGAGATGGATTCGGGGAAAAAACCCAAAAAACAGATCAATGGACCTGAATGAAATATCCCAAATCTCCAGAGGTGATGGGGGTCCTGAGCCAATGTCCACTCAGATTAGTTCTTATGATTATAACACAAAGACTAATAAACAGATTTTCAGTTCACTTAATTAGATCTCTGCAGAGCATTTGCAGAACTCTTTTGTCTGTGACAAATGTTTTTCCATTAAAGGAAATTATTCTTGTTATTATTGCAAATACACATATGATTGATGAAAAAAACCCTTCACTTAACGCCCTAGGTTATTCTGCTTAGATATGGGCAGTTTCCACAAGTTGTTGCTCGCATCTTTGATATATGACAGTAAACTTAGAGACAAAGTCTGCCGAATGAGAATAATTCTGTCACCTGGAGTATAACCATCCCAGCATGAAGGCAAACAGAAGACTGGATGCAGAGTTCCAAAAGACAGAATTAGGGTTGTACCTGGCTTTGGGCAGGCAAGAAAATGCATTTTGGCAAACCTGGAGGAGGTCAGTTCATCTGCTTACAACTGTTAATATGTGAATCTCACCACGGAGGAGCCTCCAATTGCATGACTGGTATGAAGAGCAGGAAAGAAACCTGTTACCATGTCCCTGTATCACAGGGTGGAGGATCCGTTTGGAAACAGGGAGGGTATATGGAAACCGGGAAGTGAGCTTCCCATACGTTCAGCCAGCATGTCTGGAGTGAGGCTGAACAAACACATCCCACTCCTGCTTCTGGCACAACAGATGCCTGTCCACAAATAACTCACCATGAAAATCACCTCTCCAGGCTTTATCTCTTTGAGCTTCTCTGCGTTTGCCAACAGCTTTCCTACCTAAGTCCTGCACGGAGTCCTGTCTTCTGCTCCAAGCAGCTTCCTTCTTGCTTCTGAACTAAACTCATTTAGAAGACCTGTTATAAACCTTGTGGTCCAGATTATGACTTTTTTACAGTGGTCAGCAAATGATTGGTGCAGTTAATCAATTAAAAATCAAGGGAATTACTCACGTGAGTTGCTGCTTATTAAATTAGAGCAGACTCAGAGCACTGGCCCTCTCCACTCCTTTCTATTTGCCCATAATCATGACATTATTGGACTTGCACAAGTGAAATAGGAAGATTTCAGGGGATCAACTCAGCCACTTCCCTGTGCATCTTCCTTCTCATCCCTCCTGCTGCAGGCCACCTTCCCCAAGAACGCCAATACGCTGTGAAGAAAGGGACGCTCCTGCTCATAAGAAGTGTTTGGGTCCAGCAATTGCCAGCTGGTGGCACCTGTGGTCACTTCACATCAGTTCTGCTGTGAAAATAGGATTCCACCCCGTCAGCCTTCTAATGGTAACACCTGGTTAAAAATCTTAACAAAGAGTGACAACCACCCTTTGGGATGCTACGAGTAGCATCTCTGAGGATAAGAAGCCAAGCACCTCCTTGATAATTATTTACTTATTAAATTTTACTTATCTTGGTTAAATTTCCATAAAACAACATTTCTTTATGTCGTAGATATAAGGACTTACAACACCTGACACTAAGGGTGACTTCTCTTTAGCAGCAGAGGCTTTTACTCTGCTACAAACGAACCAGTGCAGGGGACATCAACATATAAACTACTCAGTGGCTTGACCCTGTGGCATTTGCCAGCAGGAACTTTGTTCCTCATTTGGTCTTGAGGTTTTGGAAGTTTGTAGCCAAATCCAACTCCCTGAAATTAATCCACTGAGACAGTTACCTGACTTCCATGTATGCCTTACACCACAGACTCTAGCTGGGTCCCTGCTGG